GGTTGTCGAGGGTGAAAGGCCGCCTTTGGCAAGGCCCAGTGGCCTCTATTGGCTGCGAACATTTGAGTCTGAGGTTTGCGGTAGCCCGTCACGCTTTCCGACAACCCCTGGATCGGCGTGCGACGGTCGATCCGAACTACACCACTGGTACGTCTCGCGGTGGGTCCGGAACGCCGTGTACTTCCGACTGGCAGGCACGACGCGAGATCCATTTTAGTGAAGATCCGGCAGCCGGCCATGCGGTTGAACAAGTCGTCGGCATTCGGCAATGGGATTGCGGGCGCCTCCGTTTGTGAGTTGATATGGCGGTAGTCGAGAACCCAGCGGATCACCGCCGCAGGGTAGAGGCCTTTGAGCCACTGGATGCGCGAGATGGTTGAGCCGTCGTCGTCGTGTTTGGGCACACCGAACATGTTCGACACCCACGGGCTGGCCGAGAGTTCAATCCAGCCATTCATTCCTCAACTTGTCGATGAACGCGGCCACGGCGTATTGTTCGATCTTGTCCATGCGCACCCCGGGCATATTCTGGGGGCGAGCGTCCTGCTTCATCGTCATCTCAACGTCCACGGCACGGCTTGGTGGCAGTTCATCGGGAAGCTCGGTTGGCAGCACGTCGGCAAACTCGTCGAGGTGCCGCTTGACTTCCGCGGGGGGCTCGTGCAATGGTTGCACTTCCGAGACTTTGATGACGTACGCTTCCTGGGCCCCTGGCGCCAGTTGTCGCTCATAAGTCGGAAGGCCGCTGCGTCGTTCAATCGAGATGATGGCATGCGAACGCCAGTCGATGACTGGATTGAAGTCATGGAACCACGGCTTGCCAACAATGATGTCGAAGTTCTTGGGCCCCAGGTCCCGGGTTGTGAAAATCGTCGTGAAACCTTGGCCAGGCAAGTCGGACTCGAAATCCACCGAGGCCACGCAGTCGGTCACTTCGGTTGCTGGGCGAGACAGACCGTCGAAGCAGACCATCGTGACATGCTTCGTCTTGAGGACATCGAACGACACCAAGCTCGGTCGGATAAGGTTGTCTGTTGCGCCGGCCATCCAAATAGCCCCTT